ATATGAAATGAAGTTATGTTTCTCTATTATAAATATTTATATATAACAAAATGATTTTTAATTATTTATATTTTCTTGTCCACACATATTTTCCTGTACAGACATTATGATCATTTTTAATTCGTCTTTTTCTTTTTTACACATTGGAATTATATCTGTATTTGCAGTTCAATTAAGTTTTTATATGAAATTTTCTTTTCAAAACTTGGTTTTAACTGTTTATCTTTTGTTTTGAGTCTTCACTTGTTTTAAATATTTCTCTCTCTCTCTCTCTCTCTCTTTGTGTGTGTGTGTGTGTGTTTTTAATTAGTGATACCAAATGATACTCAAAAGTTTCCAACTCTTATCATTTGGAGTTGGACGCACAAGTTTCAAACGAGGCAATGAAACATAAACATGCTATGAAGTTGGGTTAAGGTATGCGGAGGAAGACATTGTAAGCCATGCCGATCCCTGATATCTTGGTTACCTGGTATTGTGGTAATTGACAGAGTGACATTTCCATTGTTGCTGTTGGAAAATTACCCTTTTAAGTGAGATTAACTTGTTTGTTCTACCTGCTGATCTTTTCATTACATTTCTTTCCAACCAAACTTTATTAAGCTCCACATTCTCAAATATGTATAGCAAAAAAAATATCTAGTATACGGCCATAATGTACAAACATCTTTCCAGCATTAAAGTTTTTAATCAACATTTGTCAACTAGTAGATGGTTCAGAGTTGAGACCTAAGTAAAGGGGTTATATCTTCTTTTTTTTTTTTTTGGTAAGAGGTAAAGGAGGCATGTTTTCGGTGTTTTGTAATTTAAATTGTAAAATAACAATTATTGTATAGAAGGACTTTCTTTCGACATAGGGTCCTACTAATCCGATGCACTTTTTTCGTTATGTTTATATCTTGATTTCTTTGACTTTTTTCGGCCTTCTTAAGCACTTATCATATGGATTTGTCGATGCAATTAACATAAGCAAAGATACCTTAAATTTGAGGGTTAAATGCCTAATTTAATTTTTGAACTTTTAATTTTGAAAGATTTTAGTCCTTAAATTATTTTTTACATTTATTTCATCCCTCAATTATAAAAACTGTACCTTTTTTGGTTTATTAGTCAGTTTTGGCCATGAATTCTGTTTAGTTAGCATTTTTTAAATTTCTTTTAATGACCTAAATGTTCATGAAACACAAGTTTTATGGATTAAAAATGTGTAATAAATATTAGTTTAAGGATAAAAAAAGTATATAAAACAAAAATTTATGGACTAAAAAAATAACAATTGAACAGACTTTACAAACAATTGAAGGGACAAAATTAATGGAAGGGCAAAAAAAGTGTATCTTTCATAATTGAGGAACAAAAAATATAAAAATAATTTGAGGACTAAAATTATTCAAAACTTAAAGTTTAAGAACTAAATTGTGCATTTCTTGCAATTTAGATTTAATGGAATAAAAATGGTAACTTTTTTTGGCAGAAAAAGAATTGGGTCCGTGAAAGACATTCAAAAAAAAGGGATAGTTTTGTTCTGTCAATCAATGTTGTCGCCACAGTGAAAGTGGATGAGTTGGATTGGAGGGTTGGGTCAAACATGTAATCAAAGTATGTAACGATGCAGTCTTGTCTGGTTTGTTATCTGTCTTGTTTGTGTCTCCTTGTTGGTATTAAAGATTGGACCTCTATCTCTTTGCATGGCCATTTGAAGGAGATTTGAGTGCTCCCCATTCTGGCTCTTATCATCTCCATCTCTACCAAAAGTGAATAATTTAATGTGGCAGAAGAATTGTTCGTTTCATCATCATCATCAATAGTATTTTCTTTAAATGGGTTCCTTTTTTGCTAAGTTGTTTCTTTCTTCTTTTTTTTTTTTTTCTTTTTTTAAGAGTAGGGTAAATATAACTTTTAGCTCTTCAACTTTTTGAGGTCACTAAGTGTTCCTCGATTTTAAATATTTTGCAAATATAATTTTAAACGCTTGAGGCTGACTTTGTAAGAACTGAGGACTAAAATTAATATTTATCTTTAACAGAATATTTGGGTTAAGGAAATTTGATGGGAGAAGAAAGGTGGAAAAGAAAAAGGAAGATAAAGATGAGGGCAGAGGCCTATCATACCAAGGTCTTAAAGTTGGTAAACAATCTATCAATACTTAGGCTATGTCAGATAAAATAGAATATTCCACCCTTTATGAGGTGTGTGACAATACATGTGCCTCTTAAAGTTGTTTGACATGAGCTTGCAAAAGAAGAAGAAGAAGAAGCCTGCTTTCTATCTTGCCACCAAGGCAACTAAAGCTGCTGTCCTTTGATTGTTCTCAATTCCAACATCCATACCTATATTGATCATTCGGTTCCGTGGATGAAAACTCCCTCAACTAAGTTTCTTGTCCATTTTTAAAATGACGTAAAAACATGGGTGTATGTTGAGTCTTATTCATGAAGAAATATGAGGTCTATGGGACACTAAAATAGCAACATGAGTTTTGATTTCAAAAGAGATGATTGTTCTATTGTTGAAAACTGCTATTATTCTTCCATGGTTTGACAAAGTTGATGGATGTGGAATATTCTTCTAAATTGAAATCGTCCAACTTGGAATGCTAGCTCTTCCTTCTCAGAGCAAGTCCATTCCAATTATTTCCTAATTTGAAGAAGTTGACTAATGATTTCTTCTATTGAAGTTATGATTGACTTGTTAACGCATTTGCCAAGTTTTTCTGGAAGGCAAAAACAAAATAAAAATCTCGTGGCTTTCTATTTGTATGTTATAATAGAAACATAGCGATTCTTCTTTTGATAATCTCGTGTTATTGGAGTTGTTGTTGTTGATGATGGTGGTGGGTGAAGATTTATGACATGACATGTCATTTTCATCCACTCTTAAGTTTAGCCTTCCCTCAATATCCACCGTGGTCCAAACATTCAAAATGGTCCCAATGCTAGGGTTAGCATTTGGAGCGATATGCCCTATTGAAAGACATGTGAACCAAAGGTCCTTCTTTCTCCTCGGCACCCCACAATCACTAGCACATGGGGCAGTGATCTCCAAGGATGGTCATCATCACCAAATTTTAATCTAAAAACATATGAATGTTAGTATATCTACCTTCATTATTAAGTGGTATCCTAAACTAGTTTGCACAATTAGACTATGTTCACACACCTGGCTTTGTAAACTGATTGATAACGGTGTGTATCACTCAGTCCCATGGACTAAGTTCAATCCCCCTCCTCCCAAAAATTACCCTTGATAAAAAAAAAAAAAAATTAGACTATGTCCATCTCTAATTTGATTCATTTCAAATTAAATGCTTTGAGATCATGATGTTTACAAGAATTATCATTTTTTGAGTCTGATTTAATATGAGAATTAAGTTTAATTAATAAGGTGAAAAGCAAATTTCGTGTCATCTAATCTAACTTTTCCCAACTTCTAATGGTGTTTGTCCAACACCTAGACCAACCTTTTTAGTGTAACGAATTTTTATATGCCCTTTTTTGAGAAGAGCTCGACTGAAACAAGATAGATACCCTTCTCCCAAAAAAGACAACAACAAGACAATTTCTAGCAAACTGTATATTGGGAGCATGTATCCATTCGGGCCCTTCTGCCCCATTGTTTCCCACTTTGTCATCCTAACTAACTTGAGGTAAGGATCAGCGTTTGAATTACTCAGCTGGTTGATGGGATTAGGTATGAACCTTTGTTAGGGGAACTTTACAGACAAGCACATGGTAAACAATTGAACCCCTTTTTACACCTTTCAATGTTCACCCAAATCAAAAGTGACATACATGCCAATTAACTTTTATAAGCCAAAGCACTAATTTGTAAGAATGGTAAAAGTATATTTTGAATCTACCATCTCAGTAACATTGCAGTCTGCAATGAGGCCCCAGAACATACATGAGTATAAAGGAGGAAACGCTTTCCTTTTTCTATACAAATCCTATTTTACTCTTTGTTAGGTCCTCTTTGTGAAAGTCCTCATCCAACCCTTCCTGACTTTGACTCCCTCAACCTTGGTTCCCACATGGCACACAGTGCCCTTGTTGGACCTCTTCCATTTGATGAGCTGGAAGAGGTGACCAATCCGCTTTCGCCACCTAAGCGAGGCTTGGGGCTTTGGATGGTCTATCACACCCTTGCTGGTCTCCTTGGTCAAAGTTGGCTTCCAAGACATGCTGCAATGCTCAAGAGAGACCTTAGAAACTGTGCCTTTTTCCCATGAGGCCATGCCGTTGTCCTCAAACTTGATTGAAATAAAAGAATCTGCAAAAGCATAAGCATATTGAAGAATCAAATGCAGAATTCATGGTGGATTTGTAACATTTTTTTTAACAATTGAACCGACATCAACATAGGTCCACAACAATATATTTTCAAATTCTCATCACATGTTAAAGAATATTATTCTTTGTTCCTTTATTTAAAAAGAAAAAAGAAACAACAGGACAATACAAAACAGAAGTAAAAAATTCTTCATTTCCAGCCCTGCTAGGTACATTACACTTAATACTTTGACCACTCTTTTGTCACTATTACAGTAAAACATTTTACACTTTATCCTTCTTTGTTTTTTTTCACTTTTTTTAAGGAAAATGCATTACCTTTTCTTTTATGTTAATGGAGATTGAAGAACATATACATACATAAGAATAATATATGGGTTGCAAAGCACTAGATGGGATTTAAAACAAAAAAAAATTAAAAAGGAAGAAGAGAAGGTAGAGTTCTGATATGAGTACCTTCTTGACTTGTTGAAGTATCAGGTTCATCCGAAGGATTGGGTTTTGAATGCCGGAAATCCAGACGGTGGAGAAGTGAGCCAACAGCAAAGATGTTGGGGAGGCTGATAGGTGGTTTCTTGGTGGCAGGGCCATGAATCCTGTGGCTGACTCTGGCGGATGAGTGGTGACCTTGTTTTGCAGCCAAGACAAGAAGCCTCTCGTTCAAGCAGAGTGGACAAACCCCAACAACAACTTCTCTGGGATGAAAATAGCAGGAGGAGTTGTCTTCTCTGTACCCATTCATGTTGTGCAATTGCTACTCCGTGTAGAGAGGAAGAGAGAGCAGAATTGAAACTCAGAAGAGAGAGAGAGAGAGAGAGAGAGAGAGAGAGAGAGAATGGAATTAGATGTGATAATAGCTTATATTGGGGAGAATGTAAGAAAGATGATTATGAAAGATTGGCCCACCAAACCAACATATCAGTTTGGACAAATACAACGGGTGGGTTTTGGATATCCAATCAAGGGCACGCTCTTGCTTTAATTTTAATCCAATTCTACCAATTTAATTACCTAGAAATATACGTTCTTATAATGCTATATGGATTTAAAGACAAAAAAAAAAAAAAATCGTTATGATTGGTTCTTTTTACTTTTTGTACATTATGTTCTTGTAATGCTGTATGAACAAAAGGGAAAAGAAAGATGCTGTATGAACAAGTAGAGAAAAGAAAATGTCACTTCTATGCTGCTAGCATTAGCATTTGACTTTCAATGTGAATTATGAAGACTCTCTCTTAATCTAGCATAAGAGAATAGGACATGGGGGTCGTTTTTCTTTTGCTAATCCAAAATTTTCTGCTTGTGGTAAGAAAGAACACTCCCAATTGGAATGAAAAGTTTCTTGGAAATTGATTTGCTTTGAATACGTGGGTGCAAATATTGTAGTAGTAGTTAGTTTTTAGGTGGCACATCAGATTCATAACTTGCAAATTCAGGCGTCTACAAAGTTGAGTGTGTGAATGAGACAAAGTCAAAATTTGTGACTCCCAATTAATTTGTTTGGAATTGGCATAAACCAAGGCGAATTTGATGTGGGAAAAGTTGGAAAAGCAGCTGTTTGGCATCGGTCTTCTAAAAATTGGGTTCCTATATTCAATTGGGATTTCTCTAGATCAAATCAAACCACTGAATTTTACCCCAAATTCAATGAACGCCCAGATTGTTCATGAAAGTGAAACATGTCACTAACCCTAGACCCTATATGTTGAATTTGTAAGAACTAAGCATTTAATGAGAGTCAATATCATGCTGAATCTGAATTTGTAAGAATTGATACTAGTATAGATGTGTGTGACACACTTCCTCTCTCGTGAACAAATTTTTGGTCCCATAGCGTGTGAAAGGGGATGAAGAAAGGAGGGCGAGAGTGCATTAGAACATTCAAAAAGCTTGCAAAAGTGATGGAAACAAGAAAAGTAATGGTCACATGGAGGAGAGGGGTCTGTTTCCATTTTGGCTGGCTTAGAGCCAGGTCCCCCATCATGGACCGAATTCTTGATGTGGGATTGTGGGTCTCCTTTACTTATTTATATATATATATATATATATATATATAATAAAAGATAATTTTTTTCATTTATTATCTCATTTTACTTATATATCATATAACTTAATTATATTAAAATATGTATTTTGTTTTTAGTGTGAAAGAATAAAAGTTTCAAATTGAAAATATGAAAGTATGAAAAATAATTTAAATATATTAAAATTCATGTAATTCATTGAATTAAATTTTTAATTATAAAATGATGTCAAAACATATGATAAACCATTTAATATCTCCTCGGTAAGCTGAATATCTCCCTAATAAATTTGCTTTTATCATATATTTTTTTTAAAAAATTGCTCTTCTACTTTGCCTCTTTATTTATACTTGTTTTTTACAATTTTACCCTGAAAAAAAGTGACAGGATGGAAGTAATTCAGAAACATGATATAACAATAATATTTTTATTAAAAAAATGTCTTTACTTAATAAGACATATAAATCATTATGTATTTATGTTGATTTAATATTATTTAACTTATAAAGATATATTATCAACAAATATTATGACAAACAAAGCCAATACCTAATGAACTAACGAAACTAGAAACCTTTGACACCAATTTTTTCTTTTTACCGACTCCTCCCCATTCTCAGTCTAAAGTCCACAATTTTACCAAATTGTTGGTCACTCTCTAACGTCCTATGCTCTTAGTCATGTTCATAACATAATGAAATCTCCAATATTCCTTAACCTTTTCTCCTTTTTCCTAAATCTTCAAGACCAAGCAAAAATCTACTCTCCAACGACCCCAATCATCTATGAAGCATGATTATAATTGCACAACATGATTAAGAAGTAATTAATTCACCATATAACTAAATCTCTTGAATTCCTCATTACAATCAAATGTGTTTCAAGCGTAAAAGATCCCCAAATCTCATGCCTTTTTATTGTAATTATGAATACAAGAAAAGTGGTGCGTTGTTTATGTTGCCACGGATCACACGTTTTGGACATGATAAACCTGCACAAGCAGATCTACTACCGACAACTTAGGGTCCCAGCACTTTCCACTAGACCTCATTCCACTGTTTTTGGTTCTATTTACCAAACAATTCATCGGATTAACATGTCTTTATAATATATATATATATATATATATACAATGTGTAGTTCATATCGCACCAAGTTATGTAATTTAAGCCATCAGATAAGATGCACTTCTTGACATAGGAGCTGTCCCTCCGTTTTATGGTTTTTGTTTCATAGACCTATACGTAATCTAGACAGTAGAAGGAGAACTCATGTTTTTATTGAAGAGGGCATAAAAAAAATTAGTGAAGAATTTTTATATTATGTAATGTAAAGCCTGCTTGAAAGTTTCCTAAGAAGGCAATACTATGAACTGTGAAGAAAAAATTAACGAGAGAGAAGTAGGAATCATGCACTGAAGCAGCTAGGACTCAACGAGAAAAAAGTCTCTAAAATTGGTAAAACCACTTCCTCTCAAAATTATGATGCATATAACTTAGTAAGGTCCTCGGAGAAAGCTTTTCTTATAGCCTCTCTCTTGATCTTGAGTGCTGCAGTGACAAGGCCGGATTCAGGAGTCCATGGAGTTGAAAGTAACTTGATTTTTGCAGGGATCTCGAACTTCTCCAATCGTGCCTTCTTCGCTGCCTGCAAATACCAAAAATCATTTATCCTAAATTCTATACAGCAGGACATTGAATGTTGCATCTTTAAAATTAAGTTTGATATGCAAGGTTTAAAATTAATGAAGCATTTTTTCAGAAGATTTACCTGAACAAGAGAAGCATGCACTTCTGCAATGGTTTCTGCTTTCCCACACAAGTCAGCAAAATCAGTAAAACTTATTCCCTGCTTTGAGGCCCACTCTTCCACTGCAGGCTGTGAAGCCACTATGAGAGCCACGCAGAAACTATGGAATGGATCTGCGTGCAACATAATATTGTCGACGTAGGGGCTCACAATGAGAGCAGCCTCAACCTGTAGGGGAAATCAGTTGCTGACACTGAGACTATCAAATACCTGATATAGAAATTCATTCATGTTGCAACATTTCATACCTTCCCTAAAGAGACATATTCTCCATGCTGAAGTTTGACAATGTCCTTTTTGCGGTCAATTATCTCAAGGCAACCATCGGCATGAAACTGTCCGATGTCCCCAGTATAGAACCAACTCATTCCTCTCTCATCAACCTTTTCACAACAAAAGATTGACAGTGTTAACTAGTGCTACCATATATGGGCTAACAAATAGGGAAAAAAAATAAAGGTTATAGTATAATTGAAATGAATGTACATGTTTAAAGTATGGAAAGTTGCCTTATAAACTTCTTTTGTTTTTTCTTCATTTTTAAAATATCCAGGTGTGACATTTGGACCACCGATCACTATTTCTCCACGAGGCGTTGGTGAATCACCAGTTCGATATCCACCTTCAGGCCAATCTATTAACTGAAATACACAAGATATTATAACGATTTAAGTCACAAAATGCATCCACTGATTGTGGCAAATCACACCTATCAATAATTGTGAAGATAAGCAAAACAGTATGCACAGCATTATCATAAAAATATATAGAAAAAAATAAGGAGAAACTGAAGTGGTATGCACAGACAAACAAGCACCGCAAACCCATGGAGGCAACACAATTGCAATCTGACCTTAACAAAGGAGCAAGGGAGCGGAGAACCAACACGACCAACAGATGTATCATCAACCTCGGAAAAGGTAGCCCCAGCACAAGTCTCAGTCAGACCATACCCTTGTCCAATTGGAGCACTAAAAAAGTATTCATCAATTAAAGCATTAAGCTTAAGAGCAGAATATAAAAATGCAGGAAAATCTAACATCAATATTCATTCTGATGAAGGCATCCTCATGTCAAGCTAAGGTGCAACACTAATATGAAATATTTGGTTTGAGGTCCTCTTTGCAATCTTGTAGGATGTTGGTGTGTTAATAAATTTATAGGCTAAATTGTAGTGTGATTAGACTTATACCCAGCTTGATCAAAGACACACCAAACATCCAAAGAATTTGATGATAGAGTCAGGTCTCTGCCAATCACAACTATTTAGTTCCAACAAATAGTTAGGGAACAGGATCACTCGCACAATTTAACATCTGACCTGTCCCTAGGCTTCTTGCTAATAACCACACTCCTTTTCTTCATATTTCTAATACTCTATCATTAATTTGAGTTTTCTACTCAGGTAAAAGAAAATATTATAAAAAGTTAAAAAAGGAAAAGGAAGAGAAATCAATTAAAGTCTAGAAGAGATCTAAGTTGCCAAATACCGTGATGGTTAGTTAACTAGAACAAGAAATAGACTCCATTGCAATGCAAGTGTGAGTGTGAGATGCAAGAGGAGCATTAGAAATGAGTAAACTTTTCTAAAATCATACTAACCCAAGACAAATATTGATGAATCTTTGAGTATCAGGAGAAAGAGGAGCACCACCAGACAACAAAAACCGGATACGACCTCCAAGAACTGCTCGAACTTTCTGAAAGACAAGAATGTCCCACAAAATCTTTTCCAGACCCCAAGCCCCAAACCAACTACCATTTATTGCAGATAATCTACGTGCATATGCTAAGTCGAACAATTTCTTAGTGAGTCCACCCTTTGCATCCACCTAAGATTCAGTCATTGTATAACTGAACTTTAGTTCACAAAAGAAGTTGCAGAAAAATAACTGTCTCCACATGCCAAGATGTGAATCCCTAACCTTCTTCCGCACGCCATCCCGAACACGATCAAGTATTGCTGGGACAGCAGCCATGATCGTTGGCCTCAATACTGTGGCATCACCTTTTGTTCCCTTCTTTATCTTGTTCCCTGTGTCAGTAAGAGTCAAAGGGGATCCATATCCTATGACACCTCCAACAGCAACAACTAAATTCTACAACATAAATAGTTCAATATGTTAAAACAAACTGCAGGTCAACAAATTTTGTATGATTGAAAAAAAAAAAGAAAAAGAGAAAAAAAAGAGCAATTAATCTCCTCATTTATGCAATCCAGTCATTATAAAGATGCTGCGCACCTCAGCTGCTAACTCAAGTATGTGAGCCAAAGGTAGATATGCAAGATACACATCCTTGCTCCCAAGGCTTGGAACAATCGTCATCACTGCAGAAACTGTAGCTAGAACATTGCGATGTGTCATCATTACACCCTGTACGATGGATACATATCAAAGCAAGTGTGATTATCATACAGAGATTAGACCTGCTAAGATAACCATTTTGAACTCAAACACAATATTACGCATACTACTTGTTAAGCTAATATTTGAAACTTAATGAAGTATTATCAGAGGTTGAAGCAGTTTGGTCAGTCCAAAACCTAGAGGTGTGAAGATAGTTGTCATCTTTTTCTCTTTGATATAGCATAGACGATTTAGAAGCCATGTAAATGTATCTAACCTTAGGCAATCCAGTGCTTCCACTTGTGTACATTATAACTGCTACATCAGATGAATGAGGTAAATCAGCATCAACAGGATTCTCACGGCCAAGTCTCTCAACATCAGCAAAAGAAGTGACTGTCCAAATACCACTTTGCACCAGTGGTAAAACATTAGATGGGATATCATCATCCATACAAATCACCCGTTTCACTGTGTCAAGTTGCCCACTAATGTCTACAAGCTTTTTCAATTCCTTGTTCCCACAAATAACTGTTGTCACCTCTGTCTGGATGGGGGTTTAAAAAGATAAATAGGGTTAAGAAGTAACAAGCAATGAGGATCAACAAGAACAATTTATAATAGCCAAGTAGGACAGCCAATCACCTCAAACTCTGCTTCTCCTCACTCAACAATAACAAATTCAAATTTGAGAACCATGTGGATTGCCATCAACCAGGATGGCAGTTGCCCATTAGATAACGCATATGGCGGTAAATGAACATGAGTCAATGCATCAATAAGATTTTGTGTAAACACTTGTCCTCTTAATCTACCAGGATAAGATCTACACTACATGCCTACACATAGACATGCTAACATTTTTCCTTTTTATTACAAGAAAGATATGCTACCAAATGAAACAGAAAACTTATATTTCACGAAACCAACCCCCCATGCATATAATGGAGTATGCAACACACAAATACACAACTCTGAGAGAGAGAGAGAGAGAGAGAGAGGAGAGGGGACCTCATTTAGTGAGTGACATAGAGCCTCCTCTCCCAAAGATGCATATATTGTCACCACAGTGACATCTCGCCTAAAGCAACCCTGGTAAGAGAAAACATTCTAGTTAATTAATTCTTTAATTGCAAAAGGAAAAGGAAGGTTTTGACACAATTTGTATCCTCATTAAAGTAAGGGCATGATTATCAAGGGAAATGGTCAAAACAAATACAAGATATGACCTGCAATGCAATAAACCATTCTTCTCTTGTATCAGCAAAGATTGCCACACGTTCTTCCTTTTTATGCCCAAGTTCAGTTAAGCCAGAAGCAAAGCTGCACACAGCTTCAAATGCTTTCCCATAGGTTAACCACTTATACTCTCCCAAATGAAGCTTCTCAAAAGATCTTCCATCCCCAGTAGTTTCAACCTCCCTTGAAATCAATTGCCGAGTTCCAAGTAGTAATTTATCTTGGTGCTGCCTACATGCCTGCTCAAAAAGTTCAGCAAGGGTAGATATACCTTCCCAAGCTGTTTCAACGGGGGAGGTGAACCTGCTGTTTCTTATTGCATACCCAGGTTCTCCACCAACATCAACAGGAACCCCTCTCTTCTTCATCTTGTTGGATTTTCGGACTATAAGGGTAAATACGATAGGTACTAGAGCACCAACAATAAAAACACTCATGCTAGGAGTATATGCCCCAACAAAATCTCTCTTATGCTCCTGAGAATAAAGACAGATCAACCCATGTTTATCACTCACGACAAACCAATTCAAAGTGCATTTTCACTTAAAGAGAATTACAGGCATAAAAGAACAAAATTTACTAAAAGAGCAAACTTTAAGCTAGAAAACGAAAAGGGCAGGCATTTATACAATTCCATTTGATCAAAGAATAGTCATTGGCAATGGCAACGGCCGCAAACATGAAAAGATCCGAAGAATACAGGTATGATTTGAAACTTTAAAAACAATTAGATGAACAACAAAAACGAATCCAATCTTGAAACAGAGGTGAGTTATCCGAAAGTGCCTACCTTGCGACTGCCCCAGATGAAATTCTGAAGCAGAAGCGGATTCAAGTTATCAGCATAACAAGGAAGAGAAGACTGAGATTCAGGAGGAGGAGGTGGTTTAAATGGCTGGCTGGCGGCGGAAAGGTCGAGTGGGAGCGAAGTTGGAGTTCCAGAAGACGTTTAGATGTGAATGGTATTTTGCTACTTCTGCTTTCAGTGCAAACACGTGGCTTGTTTGATTTGGAAGGGTCAATCAGGACCGTAGAATCGAGTGAAGGGAAATGCGGAATGGGGTGCAGGTGGCATAGCAGTTGCCATGCAAGCTTCCTCGTTCAATCCTCAATCCTATCGGCTTAACCTTCTTTTGCAATTTGCATTTGCATCCGACCAAAATTCTTTTCCTTTTTGAAATAAACACAAATACTTCTCTAAGAAGAAAAGAACATTAATAAAGCCTGTAGGTAGGGATCACTTACACTGATGTAAACTTTAGAAACTTTTACGCTTATTTTCAATTGCAAATTATAAAATGAGAAAAAGTAATTATCAGCTGCAGTATTTATGTTCTTAATTTTTTAAATATTTGACAAACAAACACTAATTTTTTTTATAAAATTTAAGAAAATTGATACAACACTTACATAATTGTAACACTTCTAATGTTACAAGAAAAGATGTGATTGTAAATGGTATATGAATTGCATAAACAACTACTACCACCATCAATTTGGGGCGAGAAACTCATTCATAACTTACACCCTTAAAATACCTTAATTGTAATTGGAATGGCTATGAACTTAATCATTTACCACATATTGCAAACTACATACATCCTTTTCTTTAAAATACCTTTACGCACACAGCAACCATTAAATAGGTGGGGCTATTTTCCAAAACGGAAATCAAAACAACCATTGGTGATGCCACATATGTATATATATATATATATATATATAGACCAAGTTCGTAATGAATAACCAGAAGGGAGCACTCTACGTCATCACGTGAACAGGGGAGTGCCAGATTCTTCACCAGGCCGCAAAGCACAGATTCTAATATCATATTTTCTATAACCAGAAGCTTCATTCCTTGATGATGAATCTGATCCATCTAATTCAAGCCGGTAGGCAGGAGTTTGACTCTCATAAGCAGTTCCAATATGTTTGCCACACTTGCCGCAGAGAAGTTTGGTTCTGTGACGAAACAAACCACAAGAGAGCTTTGATAAGTAAGGAAGGCATTGGAACTCATCAACCTGTGTAAATTTGCTCTCATCAATATCGAAGAATGATAAGATCCCTCGCTTTATTGATTTTCCATATTTTGAGCCTATATTTGAGGTACTTCGATTGAAGGAGCTCAGGTTCAATTCATATCCACAAGAACCACAGCTGCATAAGAGAAACTTCTTTACTATTTCATCTTATGAAACATCCCTATAATAGAAAAATCCAAATAAACATGGTATATCACAGAGTGTTTGGGATAAACAGACAAAGCAATCTTACTTTCTTATGCTGCTAAAAGCATGTTCTCATTTTATCTACTTTAATAACATCAGGGTTACTGAGGAAGACAGGCATAGCATAGACAAAAGAGAAACTTTGCAATTAAGTGACCTCTTAGTGTTGCAACTTTGTTTAGAAAAACATCATTAGAGTGGTGTGGACTTTGGACAGACGTGGGGATTTACTTCCTCTTTCGAGAGAGAGAATTTGTCTGTTCAAAGTTCAGATGATGTGGGAACTGAAAATGGGACTATGATTCTATTGCCTGTCTTCTTGTAATCCGAGTTAAGAAGAAAGAAAAAGAATAGTAGTATTACTTAAACTACACATACTGGAGGAATAAACATCAATCATTTTTCCGATATTTATCAAATCTAGAAACCCAAAAGAAAAACCCTTAAGAAAATTGAATCTTTCATTCTTTTCTAATGACATAATATGCCAAGTACAAGAAAAATGGTTGGTGTTAAGTAAAATCCCTTGTTCCTAGATGAATTTTTCGGATGACCCAAGTAACTTCCTATAAACCAAAATTCAGTGAAATGAACTTCACTATCTACTTAAGTTAGATACAACTTCAAAAGCAAGCCATCAACATAAAATGGAATGTAACAATTCGATTGCAACTCATCTAGAGGGAATAAATACCATCCAAAATGGTTCCAGCTTTCATTATTCAATC